GTGAAATTAATGAGATCTCAAATTCCTCCAAAATTTACTATAAGTTTATCTATGTTCTTGATTCGGATATATTCCATTCCATTCCCTGCAACCTTCTTTTTTAGGCATTAATTGTGTTTGCAATCAGGGCCTCTTGCTTACTAGACAAGTACTCTAACACTCAAACCACTACCCCAGCTCTTTTAGTTTTAGTTATTTTTCAGCTAGATTCTTATACTTTTTGCTAGGCTGACTTTGGCCTGCTATTCTCTCCTATCGCCACCTCCCAGATAGCTGGTATTACAAGCATGTGCACCATTCCTGGTTTTTTCTTTTGAGATAGGGTCTTGCCAAGTTTTTTCCTGGGCTGAAACTGAAATCCTCCCATTTCTATCTCCTGCATAGCTAGGAAGCTGCAACCTTTTTGGTTTGTGTTTGTTGGTAAGGGAAGAAGAGTTCATAGGCAAGTCTTGACCCAGAATGTTGGCAGACTGATATACTAGGGACTAAAAAGTAAAACGTGACCTTATCCTTTTATTCGAAGTTCCTGATAGTGATTTGGAAAGAGAAGAAATGTTGAGATAGGGGAATTCACCAAACAAATGCTGCTTTCTAGATATTTTGGTTGGCAAAGCTGGAACCACTGATATTACACAGGTCTTAGGAAGAGAGTGACTTCCACTCAGCCTGAGATCATTATAACCATCCAAGTTTCTGGCTGATCCTCAACTTGAAAAATACCTGTGTATAAGATTTTGATGAAGACTGATGATGCTCTGTATATGTGTTTGTGTGTGTGTATCTGTGTGATAAGAGAGGAGAGAGACAGGGACAGAGACTACAGAGAACCACATGCATGTGAGTTTGTCAGCCCTCTAGTTGAAATGGCATGGGACTGATTCTTGTCTTGTGTAAGACAATTGAGCTAGATGACTTTTCCCTGTGACATAATGAAAAGAGAGTTTAAATCTTTGGGTTTAATTCCTAATCTTGGCAAGTTGAAGTTTTTAAAATCATTAAAAATCTCTTTGCTTCTAGAGCTTTTGATTCTATATGTCTGATCTGTCCATTCACACAAGCATAGTGACCATAAATTGACCCTAATGATGCATTTCTTATTTAAAGTCTATTTTGATATTAAAAATGTAACATCAGATTTCTTTTTGTTGAAATACAACTATCCTTATTGATGATTTAATTTCAACCTTTTTATCTTTAATTTTTTAATTTTCAACTTGCAACCTGACAGCCTCTGTTTTCTACTAATTAGTTTGATCCAATTATAGTTAGTGTGATTACCTGTGTAGTAAGTTATAGGATTATATGTGTTTGTACATCCAGGTATTTTAATTATTTTTCTACCTTTCTGCCTTCTTAATTTTAATTTTGGCTCTATTTATTTCAAAGTGGTATGATCTGTATTTGTTACACTAAAGGTAAGTCACCTCTGACCCTTTGATGGTATGATCTCTTCCCCTGATCATTTAACACAATGGAGTGGATCTATATTATGATGGTCACTTCCTTTTTACAGAACAGAGGATAGGATTCGTTATTTGTAATTCATATAATTATCAGTATAGACAACAAGACAAGATACTCCACATTCCAAATTACATTTTTGGAATTGTATAACCCCAAAGTCCTATCACTATTATATCCATTTGTTTTACATACCAACATTTCTACTTTGTAAGATGTAGTGTCTATGAAACTATGATTTTAATTTTTGAAGAGAGACTTACATTAGTATGACCCTCTTCTTGCTCTCCCTTTTAAAGGGGGCAGATATGCCATGGTCTAGAATTTTCCAATGATTTTATGTGATAGCTAATTAATGGCCTTCTGTGGTTTCCATGGCAATGGCACGCTTTACTGCCAGGCCTTATCCAAATGGGCATTCTGTTCACTCTTGTGTCTTAGCATCAGCATATTAATCAGAGAATATAGGTCCTCAGTCACTGCATCAAATTGGTAAAACACTAATTTAATTAGAATCCCTCTTGAAGGCATCAGACTTCTCTTCCTCCCAGCTAGGGGGGAAACTTGTTAGTTCAAAGCACCAAGCAGGCCCAAGCAAGACATTTGGAAATTCACAAAACTTTGTCCCCCTTCTTAGCAAAGTATTTTTCACTCACCTTAGAATAAATTCCTGGCTTCTGAGTTTTTCTGCTTGAAAATTCCTCTATTTCCCTGACCTTTCCCATCATTATACATGATGGTCTTTTCTCTATAAGATGAAATGGTTGAACTGAAATTTTCAAGGTGAAGGGCAGAGGCTTCTCCCACACATACCATTGATGAAGTCTGGTGAAGAATTTAAGATTGAAAGTATTAACAGAGTTGTGATGAAGATTGATTAGTAATCTGGAAACTACTTTGCACATGCAGGAAGTCATTACCTTCAGAGCCTTTGGAAGTGTTTGGAAGGTGGTGATGACAGAGAAAAGGAGAACAGGCAACTGAGCAACAGTCTAAAATTTGCTCCTTAGGTCATAATGAATAGATAATTGTTCCCACTTACATAGATTCTCACTCCCTGAGTAGGCTTATCGTTTAAAATAATACTATCTAAAGTTATTATTATAACTGGCCCTTAAATGCCCTTAAAAGGCATATTTATACAATTGTGTGGTTTTTTCATTTATTATTCTTTTCGTAATTCTGTTCCTTTCTATTTGTTTAATTTCTGAACACTTTCTAACATTCAGAATGCACACATCTCTTCTATAAAACTTTTTCCAACATCATGAACAGAGTTGAACCTTCTTCAGCATTCCTTCCTTTGTGCTATAATTCATGATAGTACTCATTATGGTGTTTTGTACTCACATTTTTAAATTTTTTTAATACATCTGTCTCCATATTAATTTGTGAAAGACAAAAAAGTGCAAACTGTTTCCTTACAAATATTTGTATTTCTGACATTTTCCTTTTCTCTATAAAGTGCTTAAATATTTGATGATTTACTGGACACCTGAAAAACCTTGTGCTTTGTGGTTCAGCTGCAATGAAACCTCTAGCATGAAGGATTTCCAAACTAAATGGACACAGAACCATCTCAAACACAAGTTCTGAAAACCTATGTAAGTGGTATGTGTTAAAGTTGGCAAAAATATGTCAATTCATACTAAAAATAAGAAGAGTAAAGTTGGAATTTACCATTCTAGAAAAAGAACCCTCCCCTCTACCCACACTTAAACTAGATAATTCTTGGCTTTTTGTGCACAGAAGACCTCCCCTTTCGCTTTAAAATAAAGTATATATCAGGGACAGTATTCACTTTTATGTCACACTATCACTGAATCTAACAACCTCTGAGATGAATCTTCACATTTTATCTAGGACAACATTTTCATGAGGGAGAAATGCATTTTCCAGAAATGGAGATAGCAATGAAGGTATGCAAGACTAGCCAAAACATGGAATGATATTCTAAACATTAGCTATGTTTTATAATGTAGGCTACTATGGGAACTCTTGCTTTTCTTCTGTGAAAGAAGAATTCAAAGGAAAGTGGAAAATAAAACTAATCAGCTTCCTGTCCCTGCAGTGGTCCAATCAGTATACAGTGGTGATTTTCCAGTGATACAGAAATTTACACTGGCAGAAGCTTAGACCAGAGTAGCTCTATTTTCTCTTCCAATGATACATTTTGTGATTCACTTCCAATAGGGAAAGGAGGATCTAGATGGTCCAAAAGCACCTTTTGCAAATTTCACCTAGTGAAAAGATACCTGCTGAGTTCCTAGAGACTAGGAAGCAATGTTTGCCCAAATCCAGCATACAATAATATGAGATGAGCTTTCTTTCTTAAGTCTCTTATTCTACCTTAACCCCACAAGGATTCTTACTTTTCCCAGAAGCCAAATAAATGGCATTGTTTATATGGTGTGTGTGTGTGTGTGTGTGTGTGTGCACGTGTTTTGTGTATCATGAGTTTATCAAATCACAACATTTTAGATACTAACTTGGGTAAGTATTTCTAGAAGCCCAATGATAGATCAATTCAATACTAAAACTTACCTTATATTATCTTTTACTTTTGGTGATTTTATTTAAAGTAAAATTTTGTCTCACAGGGAAAACATTTTTAGGAAATCTGATACTACACTGTTTCTTTTAGAAGAAAGTGGGTGGGAGGAATTTCTTCACACACAACAACTATCAAAACAACCTTGGACAGAAAATTACTTCTTCTCTTGGCAGTTTTGTTGGAAGGGAAAACACAACAAAGTGACCAGCATGATTAGAAGGTGTATTGTCAAGGCAATCAAAAGGCAGAATTCAAATCCTTACTTAGGCTGTTATTGTGTGTGTGCAATCATGAGCATGGCATTCTTATCTGTTTCCCAAACTAAAGAGTTTAAGGAGTTAATATCTAAGGTTACTTATTGCCCTGTAACTAGATGAATGTGTTTCCTCCCAACTCTACCTATTGGCCAGCTTCCATTAATTTTAGTTTATTGAAAAGAAAAGAAACCATATAGGTAAGATAGCAGTGACTTTGCACCCCACCCCTGTTTGAAAATGAGTCAAAAGAACCACAAGGAATTAAGCATAAAGAGGGAAGAAATCTTAACCGAAGAAATATCTTCTTTATCTATGTCCATTTCCTCCCATAAGGAAAAATGGCAGTGTCAGTTGTACATTACATATATTTCTCTTTCTTTTCAGTGTTTAATCTTAGCACCTGCACAGCAGAGATCTTTACAATTCATTGCATATGCTCTCCCCTTCACCCCCCTCCATACAGCACCTGAGCCCTAAGAAGCAACCACCTCAAAGCTCCACAAAAGGCTGAGCCCCTTCTTCATGACAGAGTATAGAAGTAACAAACATGCCCAACGGTTTTATACAGTTGCTACAACATTTTAGTTTCCAACAAGTGAAGATTTTTCTCCTTTTCTTTGAATATTAATTACATTTTACAAATTTTTGTGTTTTGTTTTGTTTTGCTTTGCTTTGTTCTGTTTTGTTTGTACAACAAAAAGGGAAAGTCCATGGCAAGGAGTCCCGGGTTAACAGAGTTTGGCGGTCATCTGGTCCGACTGTTTGAGGATCTCGGTGTTGTAGAGATCCAAGGCGTGGTTCACTCTTATGATCTCACTGTTGGTCAGTTTCAGGCGGTGTTTCAGCATACAGGAGAACAAGTCCAGCTGGGGTTTCCCCGGGGCTACAGGAGGAGCCAGGCGATTAATTCGGTCCCGAATATCCAACAAGAGGAGCATCACGGATGAGGAAGAATAGAATTGGCCACCTTGGGTGTAGGACTGGTTTACCTGCTGCACAGCACTGCGAAGGAGGTCAGCATTGAACCTCAGGCTGTACCCGAACACCTGCACATCTGAAATCTTGATATAGAACTGCCTCTTAGAGGGATCAGACAGGTCCACGGGGCCCTGGCCAGTCTCATTACGCAGTAGGGTGGGTAGCCGAGTCCGACTACGTAGGTAGATGTGAACTGTCTCAAAAAATGTTTTCCACCGATTGCCCAGCAAGAGAGTCCAGTTATAACATTGGCTGTTTTGAGACGGATCTTCTCCCAACGTGGGTAGCCAAACTCCCCAAAGGGCATGTTCCAGCCCTCTGAATGGCTGCCACTGAAGGGATTGACATAAACAAAGAACATGGGGTCCAGGCTGCTATTGCGCATTTGACAGATGCGCATGGACATACCTATGACCATGTGGATGAAGTCCATGCGGTTCTTGTTGCTCTTGAGAGTAAGGGACATGCGCTTGCGCCACCGAGGGTCAAAGAAGGTGTCAAGGCGGATCTCATTGCTGATGAAGGTAGTGTGGACATAAAGGCGTGAGTCCATCTTCTGCAACAGGTACTTCAGTTCCAGGTCCTGGAAGTCCAGGTCGGTCTCAAAGCTGATGAACTGCTCACTCCGCTCAGAGTCCACGTTCTGTGGTTCACAGCGGCCTCGGTACAGCTTATAGCCCTTGTTGCAGGAGCCACAGAGCGAGATGTTGGCCAGGCTACACATGGCGCAGCTGTTGTTTCCTCCTATGATGCAGGGGATGGGGCGCTGGCACAGTGTGGTGCTACCATGGCACACACAACTCCTCTGGCTCTCCAGGAAGGTTCCCCAAAACCCATTCTCATTGCAGTATAGAAGCGACTGTACCCTTGCAAGCCACTGCTGAATTGTCCTGAAAAAAAGAAGGAAAATGGAGAAAGTTAAGCACCATGGGTGGGGTTGCAAGTTGTTGTACACAACTCATAATGTAAATTGGAGTCCCACTCAATTAATGAAAAGACTGGGCAGAGCAGTTATAATAGGAAAGACAATGAAAAAACTGGGAACTACATTGTACTTCCTTGTAATGTCACAAACCAGCTGTATGATATTGTACTTTACACTTCTAATCTAACATGGCTTCATCTGTAAAGATAAGGGGTTGGAGTGAATGTTTTGGGGGTCCTTCAATCCCCATGATTCCATTATGCTACTTAGTCCCTAAGTAGTTTGATTGAGAAAGTAAAAGTGTGTAAACCTTAATAGTCTTTCTTGATGAAAACACACTGTGAAAAGTCAGCAATGAAAAAAAGCTCAGGGGTTATTCTTTTCATCTACCTGACCATCTTTCACACATTCCTCCAATGGGATTATACAATATCTAACAACTTCAACAGAAACCAATCATGTTTTATCATGACCTAGAAATTGCATAGTGCTCTCATATTGACAATAATACCTTTTTTTCAAAACATGTAAAAAGATGTTATTTCCTCCATTTTTCCAGAGTTCCAAGCTTTCAATTCAGTGGTGTTTCAACTGCACCATGTACCGCTAGGTCCCCTTTCCTCTGCCCCTTGATGCTATAAATGATACCAATGTCTATACCCAGATAGACACTAAAACATTCCAATGAAGACAGATCAGGGAGCAGATAAGAAGCAACAGACAAATAGGTAAAAATATGTAAGACATTTGGCCTAGAGGCCTCTCATCTTTCCTTATTTTTGTATAAGTCACCCGTTGGCTGTCTTCCATCTCACAAATAATTCCTTACATGTTTCTAACACTTTTTACCCTTCACAGGGCATTTTCACTCCTATTTTCTCACTTGAGCCTCACAACAACACTCTGAAAATAGCTTGAGACTTGAGGTCAGTCAGAGATTGCATAAAATCCTGGCTCTTCCACATGTGAACTGAGGTGGTGCTGGGTAGTTTCCCTCACATTCCTAATCATTCTTACCACATTGGGCTGTTGTGAGGATTACATGAATTTTTACATGAAGGCTTAGCTCCAAACATGGCAGGTATTAAGGGCTGGATAAAACTTAGTTCTTGTTATTCCTGCAAAGGGACTCTCAGGTCTCTTTTATAGACTTGACACAAAAGCTCAGAGGTGAAATGATGGACTCAAAGTCATACAACCAGTGAGACTGGCACACTGCTATTGCTTTTGGCATTTCTATCAAGGAAACCTTTCTTAAGGCTACATGTGCAGTGGTGATGTAGATGGTGATGAGGGTGGTGTCAGCAGTTCATGAGTTCCCTTTCATGAAGCTGGAAACAGAAGCCCATTTGCAATGTACTTCCTGCAGTGGGATGTGCTAGCAACCCATCTGTTCTATTATTTCCATCAATGGGTCACAATCACCAAACCATAAACACCAAGAGTCAGGGGTAGATAACAGAGCCTACTACTGAAGAGCATGGATGATAGCTCAAGCAGAATTGAGTTAAAGACTCCATTCTGTAACCAGGAATAAGTAACTAGGAACAAGTCACTCCGTCTCTGGAGGCCTTGGTATCCATATCTAAAATGAGGATAAGAAAGCTCATCTCATGCAGCTGGCAAGAGGACTGTGTGAGATTATATATTTAAAGTGCTGAGAAATGCCTGGTATGGAGAAATTATGAAAAAGGTAATAATAAAAAAGTATTCTTTCTTATCCCAGAGAATAAGCTCTTCCTTTGAAGGTACTGAGACACTCAGGGATTTCACTATCTCTCTGGAGTTTGAGGGAAACCATTTTGTTATATCCATTTGAAAATGGATACTGTTGAAATGGCTGCCTGGCTTGCTTTGCTTTAAGTGGGTTGCCTATCAGCTGAGAGAAAACAGTGGAATAATTAGCTTCTTGAAACCCTCTCTGCCTTTTAAAGTCATAGAACTAGTCCTCCATCCAGCAATAAAAACTCCTTCACAACATCCAAGACATTGTATCTGGAACCCTTATTGCCTTGTCAGTTCCCCTGCAGGTCCATAGGCTTGGAAGGAGGGGCCCCTCCTTCCAGGAGCACCTAGCACACAGCTTGTCTCTATAAATGTTTGCTGAACAAATGAATGTTTACCGAATGAATGAACAAAGAATATTAATATTGTTCTTATTTTTATTAAAAAAAGAAAAACAAACTTCTTTTTCTCCCCTCAGGACCACAGTATTAGTTTTCCATACCATCCACCCACACAGCTCCAGGCCTCCCTGGTCTCTGCTTCGTGAGACCAATCCTATTACAGCCTGGAGAACAGCAGCAGGCCCAGCCTTCAGGAAACGGAGCTGGAATACTAATGAGCCGTGTGGCTCCCACCTCCCAAACCAGAACATTGACTGGATATTGGGGTATGAGTCATCTGATATTTTTGCGAGCTGCAGGGGCCCTCCACACAGTTCTGATTGCGTGGTTCCATCTGACAAGAGCGTCATTTCAAAATGCCTCTCTCAAATGGCCCACACTTGCCCCTGTCACTCCTTCTCCAAGTGATTGGACAGTACTCCATTTAGAGCTCCTCTGTTCCCATCTGCAAGGCATTCTATAACTCCGTAGAGCGCCCCCTTTCTCGTGTCTCATCTTTGGAATTCTTTGTCAGTTCTACAGCCCCCACTCCTCGAATCAATGCTTCATTGTGGCTGAACTCTCAGAATCCTCAGTGGGGGAAATAAAAAGATGAAAGTTCCTGGTGATTCTGCAACAAGCAAGGGGGCTAGTGGTGATTAGGATTCCAGCCTTGTCAGGCAGGAGGGATTGGGGACAGAGGCCCTCTGAGATGCATTAGCGGGCTGCATGGCACCTGCGTCTCCTGAGCTTGGAATAATTGTGAGGTTGTGGGCTGCATCAAAGGAGGCATTAATGATACAGCACGAGGGTGCAGAAGGGAGGTGGTGTGCAGGGAGTGCAAGATTGAGGGAAAGAGGATAGAAGAAACAGGGAAAAGGTGGAGAATGTGGAAGGGTGATAAAAGAAGAGAAAAGAACTTGGTGTTGGGATGATGGGGCAAAGATGGAGCAGATAAGCAGAGGGACAGAATGTGATGGAATATAACTAGAGTGGGCAGGGTAGGGGAAAAAAGGCCATTATTCATTTGTCATAACTTATAGATTCAGGGAATGTGAACACTGGATGGGCCATTTGGGGATAGGCTAGCCATCTACTCCTCTCTTTTCTGCAAGAAGGAGGAGGACCAGAGAGCAAACAATGTTACTGGTGAATTATGATTCCCAGAATCAGTGAACATTCCTTTGCTTTTCAATATTTCTTTAATAGATTAAAAGGAGAAAAAAACAAGCTTATCCCATTTTTGGTGTGCATTTTTTTAATACAAGCAACTTCTAGTGAGAAATCAGACTCAATCTGCACAATCTCATGTATCTTCTCCATCTCCAGTCAGTGCTCTGAGTATGGCTCTTTGGTAGCCATAATCCTCTGCAAGCTTTGACTTTAGGGAGGGACCCTGTGGTGACCACTATCAAACACTCACTGTATACCATGCATGGTGCTGGAGGCTCTTCATACTATGTTCCTAAGCAGCATGCATAACTGTAGCCACCTCTGTGTGACAGATGAAGATGATGAGTACTTGAGAAGTGAGTTAACTTGTCTGAGATCACAAACTTATTCAGCATTCAAATACCAGACTCTACTTCTGGCATGGGTGCACTTTCTGCTATGTACCATAATGTTAAATTATAACAATAAGGCAAGCAAGAAGAAGGAAGCAAGCCACAAGAAGAAACATAAATGGAAATAATGGGAAAATACAGGAAGCTTGAACATGTGAAGGGCTTATTATCACATTCCTTGCCTCCTCTGGGTCCACCAGGGTCCCTCTTCTCCATTCACAGATAATTGGGGCCACCGCAAGTGCACAGGGAGAGACAAGGGACTAACGGTGGGGGGGGGACTATGATCTATAAATATCATTTCCCAGGCTGGCCAGTGACAGCCTGCCTCAACCCTGGCAACAGAGAAACAGCTTAATAGGCTGGCTCCAGAGGGGAGGGTCTCACAAAGCTGACATAGTCCCACTGCAAGGCAGTCAGTGTAAGGCAAAGAGAACCATGCTTTAAGATGCTTTGCTCAGTCCTTAGGGATCCACATCTTCCAACTGCAGCTGAAACTGAACTCTAATACATCCAAATCAGCACCTTTTGGATGGGCAAGATTTCAATTCATTTCCATGGGGGTTAAGAGAAAGAAAGGAAGGAGAAAGGAGAAGAAGGCGGGAAGCTGCATTTTCATTTCTGAACTGGAAAACCCTGGCATAATTGATACGTATCCACAGTAGCTCCACATGAAGGAACTTGGAACACAGAAGCAGAGAACCTTCAAAAGAAGACATCTTGCAAATGTTCAGCCCATTTCCCTCATGTTTAAACCTGCAAACCAAGACCTGTTTGCTGAGATGGATGATCTGTTTCTCAAGTACTTTATACATGATGGCAGTTATCTCTTTGTCCTCACATCATTCCAATGAGATAAGACTCCCTTCTGATTTCCACTGTACTCATGAGGAGGTTAAGGACCAGAGAGGGACTGTGACTCAACCATGGTCACAAAGCCTTGATATACCAGACCAGATTTCAGAATTTCTGCATCTAAATGGACACTCAATTACCCTATTATATATTCCTTACCCTCTAAACCCAGGTCTGGAGGATACACTGGGCTCAGGGCCATGGAGAGACCTCAGTTGCTCTTCTGCAGGCTCTGTTTTTACCTCATCCATGATTTTCTGGCAAACTGACAGGTCTCCCCATGACACAGCATGGAGTCACTTGTCATTTGGAGGACAGAGGCTCTGCCACCCGGAGCTTCCCATCAGTACTTTCACAAGCTCACATCTTCCTTTCAGAACCATCCGGCTGGGGAGCCCTAGCTGGGATTCCTAATTCAAGCAACCTCCCTGCTGATTTTA